ATTCCTGCTCATATTTTTTGCTCTGAAGAGACAGCTATTTTTCTAGCACTCACTTCCGAGACGTGAAAGTCAACTAAAAAGTAGTTAAATCAACATACTGAATAAGCCCTGCAAGCCTAACAGATCAATAGTACGACAGATTTGAGGAAAAACATGGCTTGAAAACAACACAAACCGAATTTATTTTATAAAAATTAGTATTTCAACACAAAAATTTACTATCCAGTAGATCCACACAAATCCTACGTCTGTCTGTTGTGGCAATTTTACACAAGTCTTAAGTTTTCCGCAGAGAACAGCAAAATGCTAGCTGATCAAAGTTATCATCGTATTTAAGAAAACATCTGCAGAAGTCCTTTATAGGAACATCTGGTTATTTCTTCGCGTAAGTGATTTTCATGGCATGAGACGGAGTGATCTTGAATCCTTGGAGAGCATCTCGAGCAGCTCCTGCTTGATTCTCATTTTCAAACTCCACAAATGCAATGTCATGGCGCCCAGGCACTAAGCGAACTTCTTTGAATCCAGGAAACCTTTAAAATGAAGTGAAAATCAGATAATATTTCCTAGTTGGATAATACATCTCTCTTCAGAAGGCCTAAGGCCTTATCATAAGCATATAAAAGTATATTTACTACTAATGAAGGATTTAAATTGAAGGGTTTTACATACCCAGTCTTTAGAACCCTGCTTCAATTAAGGATCATTACATGGAAGCAATTTAATCTGTCTTGTACACATATGGAAGCAACTAAAGCTAGTTTTAAAACTGCTCCTGCTGTTGTAAAGTCTTTAATATTACAGTCACCAGCTTAAATCCAGTGCAGATTGATAGTAGATAACTTACACAATCAAAACCAGCTACGAAAAAAATCAGATTTGCTTTCTGCACCAAGTCATCAGAACCAGCATCTGTAATCTTGGCAGCAAGACAAAGCACTGAAATACCTCCAGAAGAAATTCTCATTTCTAAAAAGTCAGCTTGCCAACTGAGAAAAAGCATACAGGTAACGGAAGAAGTCAAGGGAGAGGTGCTTTCTATTCAAAACTTACTGATTGAATAACATGGACAGCATCATCTCATTTGTTTCCTCAGGCAAGTTATTAAGGAAGAGGATATAGTTTGGTGGGTTATCAGGCACCTGTAACAACAGAAGATCAAAGCTCAGAAGATTATACGCAGCTATCTGTTCCTCTTGATTTGTCTGCATGATTATTTGAACCAGGACTCAAATATCCTTAATTTTGCTCGTAACGCTGCTAGCTGGACTTCAATATACCTTCATGCAATATCCAGACATAGCCCCTTGTTTCTTTCACACCGATATAGTAATTTCGAGAGGCTCTTACTTCCACAAAAATCACAGTAACATATCGTCTTAGATATCATATTTGAACTTGACAACTCAACAGCTGATACTGCCGCACTCTCAGCACTGCCGGCGTGGGATGAGATGCCTAAGCACTGGCTGTCCAAGATGCCCGTGTGGCAGTGGAAGAACCCATCAAAGACTTGTACCCTTCTGGAAGAGCAGCTGGAGGCCAAGGTAAATACCCTGTTCATCTACAGTAGTACTGAAATGCTGAGTATCTTTGGGTAACTATAACCCACAAGACACATATGGTTTTACTACAGTGTTCTACTCCAATTTATTCATTAGAAAACCCATTAGATTTTAAACTTTAGAGTCTTTATCCAACAGATTTGTCTGCTAATATGAATTTGTAGCAACCCGCAAGCAGTCAGTTTGCTGACACGACTGAAAGGCGAAGACCTTCCTAAGTCATCAAGGACAACTTCAAACGTCCAAATAGCGGTGCCAACTTAATGCCTCAGCAGAACCATTTCCTTCATCTGATGGAAATATTCCAGACAGTGCCATGAGCAAATAAACTACCAAAGTTCAAACAAATACCTGAATACCCAGTGCTGTGCTTCGATGCAAACTGACACACACATATTGTGCCTTGTTACAAATGATGCCTGAAAGAAAACCCAGACTGGGAGCATGAAATTTCCCCCTGTGGGTTATGTAAATCTCAATGACAGTACTTAAGAAATGCAGGGCAAGCAAAGATATTCTTCTATAGTATTTGCCCTCCTGCAAATTCTGGCTCTTTAGTACCTCCGCTTCTAACATACATGAAGCGTAGAGTGTTGGTGCTACATCCCCACACAATCCTTTGGAAAAGAAGACACTTATGAGAAAAAAGAAAAAGTGAGCAGAGGACCCCCAAACTCCTGAAAGAAAGCTTTTAGGCAGATATTCTGGCACCCTGTGTAGTCTTCCTTCTCCTTTTCTGTTACTAGAACAAAGTAAGTTAAAGGGAATTTATTAACAATGAAAAAAAATTTAAGAATCCTTCAACTGATACTAAGCACAGTCCAAATTTAAGAATCAAGTGGGATTTGTTAGTAGTGCAGTTTTCTGTATAATAATGAGAAACTGTATGTTTTAATTTCAACCAGACACAATAACTGTGTGATTTCTTTTGTTTGTTTACTATGATTTAGCTGGTAGACAAATGTGTCACAAAACAAAAAGGAAGCTGTAAAATATAGCCTTGTTTCCATGTGTAACAAACTATTATTCATAGAGAATAATTTTAAACATTAGTGCTTTTAGTCACTAAATAAATAAATAAATAAAAGTGCATTACCTGCTGATTCTGTGCTGCAGTCCCTGGGGCATTGGCTGAATTTTGTGTTGCTCCCTAATAAATAAGTACAAAATACCTTTACAAAGGTGTTCTGTTAGAAATATATAAGCACCCATCACCATGTTTCTGTACCACTCAAGAAGTGTGGTAAGGTTTTTTTAAGCTACAATCCAGGGAACATTTGTTGCTTATGAGATACCTCCTAAGGGGAAACATAAAGCACAGGAATTTTGCTGAACTTCAAAACCAGGCAAAGAAAAAACATCGGTAATACCTGATGTGACTAATAGCCAAGTCAGCAGATACAGCAAATCACTATTTCTCCTCATTATAAAATTTAGTTTAATAGACAGGAAGGAAGTAGTTTTGAAAACGAAGGCCTAGACAGGACATACCTAATAGGAAAAAAACAGGTGTTTCCACTGAGGACTCCAATTTAGCAAGGATAACTAAAGCTATTACCATTATAGCTGGTAGCAATTATTTCTTCCTAAGGGACTTGTATATAATGATTGATTTTTTAATAAATCCTGAGAAATCCAAATATTCTACCTCGAAAATGTTGCTTTCTATGAACACTCTTATCTCCCCTTGATACCAATTTGTGCCTTAGAGGAAGTGTAGTTAAACAACACAATATTCAAATTTTGTGCCTTGATGTCTTTTGCTATACTTCAGCACATAAATTACTAGATGTTGTTAGTTGAGGCCAGGCCAACCCTTAATGGAGATACATTCCAAGGCAACTCCTTTTCATTACCTGTAAATGAATTATCTTGTTCCCATTTACCATTCTTCAGTGGCTACGAAGCAAATAAGGCATTAAAACACCAAAGGGCAAAGCTGGTTGAGCACTTGAAGCTGGCATGAAAGACAAGCACGCACACCTCTCTCTTTTGCCTTTTTTTAAAAAGAGGTTAGTTTATACTTTGGTTTATTTTACCTTTGTCCTACATCTTTGTTTTAATCTGGTAATAGGAGGGGGGGGAAGGAACAAAGACTACCATGTTATCAGCCCCCTCTCCTCCAACTTTTGGTGAGCGCTCAAGAGCACTAGGTATCAACAGACCACAATTTAGGGAATTGAGAAGTACCAAAAGACGTTAGTCCTAAAAAAATAATTTAAAATAGCTTTGGTGATTGTTTGTTTGTTTTTTAAACAGAGAAGCAGCTTACCTGGATAACCTTTTTATTTGCTGCATTTGCTGACTGCTCCAGAGATTTGGCCTTCTTCTTTTCCTTCCTTTTTTCCTTATCAGCAAAAGTACCACGCATTTTAGAGATGATATCAGAGTCTGTTTTTGCATACTGAATACGCTTTTTAAAAGGAAAAAGAACACAGTACATTTTGCAGTTAATAATACTGAACATTTTGCACCTGTCCTGGTTTCACCTGGGAAGGGGTTAATTTTTCTTTCCAGTGATTGCTGTGAAAGGAATGTCAGTAATACCTATTGTTTTCAGTTGTTGCTAAGTGATGTTTACACTATTCAAGGACATTTTTCAGCTGCCCATAGAAGCATAGACAGAAGGATGGAATGGCCAATGAAATATTCCATACCATAGACGCCATGCTCAGTTTATATATGTGGGTTGGCCAGCATCAGGGCAGAGGATCCACCACCACTGCTCCAGACAGTGACAATTCACCAGGAGGTGAGAGTGACCCACGTTATTATTGTTATTTTTCCTTTTCAGTTATCGTTTCCATTAAACTGTCTTTATGTCATCCTATGAGGTTTTTTTCCTCCCTTTCCCATCCTTTTTTTGCCCCCTCTTCCCCCCTGCTTTTGGGGGAGGGGAAGAGGGGGAGGTGAGCAAGTGGCTGCATGGTTCTAGTTGCCGGCTGGGGCTAAACCACAACAGCACCACTTTTATTAAATGTGTTCTAATAAACTGCATTTACATGTTTTTTTTTCCAGGAACGTCTTATATTAAAAATATTGTTATAAAATGTAGGTATGCTTACAGAATATCTGATCATCATAATTAATTCTGAAGACAACTACGGAACTCTAAAAAAAATTTAAGACAGTAATTACTAATGTTAACTCATTGAAATCGGAACTCTATTCGCCCAACAGCATCTTTTTAACATCTGTCAAAATAACAAATACAAAGCGATATAAGGACATTTGACAAAATTTGCACTAGCTTCTATGAAAAAACCTGAGAGGGTTTTTTAACCCCATTTTAAGGGGAGTTAAAATTTTACAGTAGTTTCTCAGGTCTCTAAAGAAAATTGAGTTGCCAGGGGGGTAGGCAGATTTAGCTATGAGTGTACAGGTGTGCAACATTATATGTGCACACAATCCTATCGCTTTTACTATCAGAGACTACTTCAATACAAAATTACACAGCAGCTGAAGACTTTGTTTTTTAACGCTTTTGTTTAGTGCTTAGAGTATGCATGCTGCAGGCGATATTCAAAGAGAGAAGTACACCTGAAAGCTCGTGAAGCCTTAATCTTTTTATTTCCTATTGAGTTTTACTGAGCACAGAACTCGTCAAGGCTAAATGATGGAACTGCACTTGCAGAATCCCTTGTTACAAATTTCATTAGAGAATCTGGAAATGTTAACTTAAAAAGCTCGTGGCTCAGCAACACAAGAACTGACTGTGCTCTCCTTAATGCTCAAAGCCACGAGCTGAAAGCCAGTATTGATATACCCATCCATCACTGAAGTCAAATGGGCCATGTGCATGTATCATTACGCCTCACAAATAGTTGCAGAATTAAGAGATGCCCAATTATCCAAGTAGGCAACAACAACATGTCAATTGTTGTGCTATTCTGCATGTTATGGAGCACGTTATTAAATGACATTCTATCAACCAACAGTGTATTTGCTTCACTGAAGTTATACTGAAATTCAGTTACTCGCTTTGGTGATCTGATGCATGCAAAAGCAAAACCAGCCATCGATTTAAAAAAACAAATCACTGGTCACATCAGTTGATTTCTGGAAAGTAAATCACAGAGATCTTCATGCTACGCACTGTTACCTCAAAAAGGAAGCATCATATTCTATTTATTACAAATAGAATAGTAATTAAGGTTACTCTAGGCAAATTAACTGAAAGCACCTAGTTTCAATAATATTACAGAATTTAATCGGTTCAACAGAAGACATGATGAGTAAAATGGAAGTATTTAAGATGTCAAAAACTTTAATCCAGCATAGAAAAACATAAAGCCATCATTTAGGAAACCTAAGTGCTAAGTTCAGCCTCTGTGTGTGTTTTATCTACAGTCTCTCTGGCATCCCTCTGGCTTGCATAAATACATATCTTCATCAAGACGTGATGTGAGTAACAAACGGTACAATTACAAGTACATGCGATAGTTAGTTCACAAGGTGCAAGTACCAAAACACCGTATCATACCATGGCAATTTTTTTTCCTTTAAAAAGCTAACAAAATTACTTACCATTGGTTTCCCATAAAACGGAAATCCTTGTAGTTGTCTCAAAGCATTGGTAGACGATCCAAGTTCTTTAAATATAACAAAAGCCTGTCCTCTCATCTTCATAGTCTTTAACGCCACAATGTCGACCACATGACCAAACTGTGAGAATAAGGCGTACAGGGACCTCTTCAGTTCTGTTGACAATACAAAAAAAGATAGATTGCAACAGGTTACACGCAAATGCCCACATCTGCAGAGTCTGCTGCCCTTCAGGGACAATGTCTTTTGACATCTGTAGCTCACACAGCGATACGTTACATGAGTTTAGTCAAAACTGTTGCACGAGTACAAGTTTACTTGCCCAGTTTGTGTAAATTGGTGCATAACACTTGGTTTCACACCTCAAGTATTCAGCTAGTTGAAAAAGTTTTACCACCGTCCATTCTACCGTTCTAAGAGAGTAACAATTACACAAGGGTACGTATATACATTTCATATACACGTACATACACACACTCTCACACATTCAAGTATGATGTACGAAAGCCATCAAAGACTGATCAGAAAATCCACACTGTAACATGCAATAGCAGAGAGGCGTGACTTAAAACAAGAACATGGCAAAATAGGAACTATTTAAAAGCTGAATAATTTGGAAATTTTGTTTGTAACCGTTTAATCAATTCTCTCACGCACACAAAATTTTTTCATATTCTGGATCCAAATATCTTTCTGTATGATCACATTGTACCTTACAGCTGCAATGGATTTATTTTCATTATTTAGTATCGCCTGAATACAAGCCAAATGAAACCTTAATCTTATTCAGTCAGGCTAAATAAATCCTCTGTATCGCGTAACTGTTCTAACTGACAAATCTTACATTTGAAATATTTTAGCCACATAAGAGCACCGCCTCTGTTGCTGTTGAGGATGGGTAATACCAGCCCACTGGCACTTCCTCCAGCTCTGCTTGACCAACCACAGCGCCACTTTTTTTTTAGAAAAAGGTTTCTTATTTCCTTGAAAATAACTTCAAAAAATGTATTTAAAAAAAAAATAATCACATTTTTAAGCTTTAGAGAGAATTTGAAAACCTATATTTAAAAATTACAACCACGCAATTCCATAATGGAGACTTACTAGTTTATAAGGTACTTGAACATGCTACAAACAAAGCCCCAAGTTAAATTTATCCAGTAGAACCATCTTGACAAGTTAATAAAACCTTTCTCAACAAAGCTGTTTCCACTTTCAGGTATCTCCCTGAAGCACCCTGAAGAAACATTTGAGTAGTGCTAGTCTGATCCAGCCACTCAGACCACAAACATTAACAAACAAATTACCTTGATCGCTTTAGATTACAAACTAAGCATGAGCATTAAGTGGATGGTTCTATGCAGACATTGAATACACAGCCAGATAACAGCAAGAGGTTTGTGGGGGTTTTTTTTGAGGCACACTGCAAGGAGCTAAAATTTTTCAGGATCAAGTAACTTCTCTCTGGAGAGGGCTGCAGTGACTGCAAGGCAGTGTCTCTAAGAGGATGATGCAAAGCAGGCTCGCTCATGCCACGTTCACTGCTTCTGCGCTGTGCTAAAACAAACGAGGAGCACACAGATGCTCCCACGTTTCAGTGAGCGGGGGCTGCTGACCACCGAAACGTGGTATGACAGTCGGTATAACAGCGCTCTTCTCATCCATTGGATACCCCCATTACCGCTGTGCCTGCAGTGACTCACTGACGAGCAAACCTAACCCGTGCAATTACAGCATCATAGAACGGTTTGGGCTGGAAGGCACCTTAAAGACCACCCAGTCCCAGCCAGCTACAGAACTAGAGTGGAGAGGCAATCAGAAGCTCCCTTAGAAGCGCACGCCCCGCTTTACAAAGAGACTTGAACGTTGTGCGAGGTTTGCCGGCGGCAGCTGCTGCTGCTTCCCGAGACGCAG